TGTAAAAAAGATGTTGAGACTCTAGAAAGAGTGCAGAGAAGAGCAACAAAGATGATTAGGCTAAAACATATGAAGAACGGTTGCAGGAACTGGGTATGTCTAGTTTGATGAAGAGAAGGACTAGGGGAGACATGATAACAGTGTTCCAGTATCTCAGAGGTTGTCACAAAGAAGAGGGAGTCAAACTATTATTCAAAGCACCTGAGGATAGAACAAGAAGCAATGGGTGGAAACTAATCAAGGAGAGAAGTAATTTAGAACTAAGGAGAAATTTCCTGACAGTTAGAATAATTAATAAGTGGAACAACTTGCCTGCAGAAGTTGTGAATGCCCCAACACTGGAAATTTTTAAGAAGATGTTGGATAACCATTTGTCTGAAGTGGTATAGGGTTTCCTTCCTGGGCAGGGGGTTGGACTAGAAGACCTCCAATGTCCCTTCCAACTCTGCTATTCTATTCTATTCTAGTCTAGTCTAGTCTAGTCTAGTCTAGTCTAGTCTAGTCTAGTCTAGTCTAGTCTAGTCTAGTCTAGTCTAGTCTTCTCATCGTTCCCACCACCCATCTCCTTCCACTTATGACTGTATGACTAAGTTTGTTGCGTGTATCCTTACAATTTATAGTGATATTGTTTTCTTGATTGCTTATTTGTACCCTATGACTATCATTAAGTGTTGTACCTTATGATTCTTGATGAACATATCTTTTCTTTTATGTTCACTGACAGCATATGCACCAAGACAAATTCCTTGTGTGTCCAATCACACTTGGCCAATAAAAAATTCTATTCTATTCTATTCTATTCTATTCTATTCTATTCTATTCTATTCTATTCTATTCTATTCTATTCTATTCTTTTCTTTTCTTTTCTTTTCTATTCATCTATTCTTTGACTAGATGACCACTAAGGAATAGGAATCCTTCCATTCCCCACCATTCAGTCACAACCGAAGAAGCTTCTTGGATGAGAAGTAAAATGTTTTCAAGGAAAAAACCAAAAAAGTCCAGTTGACTTTTGAAAAAGCACCTTTGGGACAACCATGACTTGGATAATTGAGAATCTTCATAGACATATACACAAATCAATTATAAATTATTTTAGAAATAAATAATTTATTAGAAAATAAATATAAATTTAAATGACACATTTTCATGACTTAAACAAATTAAACAAATGCATGGTATTGCTGTTCAAACAACAACTATCAGTCAGACAATCACTGTAAATTGGGAAGTGTGAATTTGGAAATCTCAGTTGGTTGCTCGTAGCTTCATAACTTAGATATTCTTGTATCCTATCTGGAAGAGAAATCCTATTATGCCTTCCAACCATCCTCACAATCTTTACACATAAATTTTAGATTCTGGAACAGGTTTTAGCATAACTGCATTCCTAAAGAATGTATTACCAAGGTGATTATATGAAAATCCATGTTTCAAATATGTGTTAACTGTATTTCTTGATTTGTTACATTGCAGCAACACTACCTTCTCTCAAGGCAATTCAACAGAACAGAAAAGGGAAAGGAAATTCACATGGAAACACACAATGATTATACTCAGACACACAGATCAAGAAAAATAAGAGCCATACTAACCTTATTTCACAGGCTCCTTTGACACAATCCAGTAATAGTGGTAATATTAAAATGTAATGGCAAGCTGGTTCAACTGAATTAATGGGAATGAATTTGTCTTTTATTTTTTCATTTAGAGACAATGAGATGGAATGGCTGTTTAAAATATTGGGCTGATAGAATTCAATTATCTGCCTTTCTATCTTAGAATAGCTAATTTAGGAAGGTAGATAATTGAATTCTATCAGCCCAATATTTTAAAAGATAGAGAGATTTCAGTTTTGCCCACATCTTATTTTAATCTGCTCCAGAACATGCCTGCATTATTTTATCTTAGTGCTGATTCATGAATCATATGATTAATTTAAAGCTCCCAAGCTGTTGTAATTAGCATTATGACTAAGATGAGATCAGTAGCTAGATAGAGGAAAAGGTCAAACAAATTGGTTATTCCAAGGGATTAGAAAATGGTTTTATAAAACTCAAAATTGAATTTAATAAAACCAAAATTGAGTTTAATAAAACCAAACTGATTATTTCATTACATAGTCCATGCAGACATCAGAACACTGTGCCATTTTGGAGATAAAGCGATATTGAAGCTCATTTCTTGCCAAACCATGACAACAATTCATGATAACTCCCTTGTTTATATCGTTTTTTCTAAGGCGTTTCTATCATTTTAAATGATCAATATAATCAAAGCTCTTTCTATCACTAATAAATTACGTATAACTTCTTCCTGGTATTCGTTAACTTTCTCAGTTATCCAGTATGTCTCATCTATAATGTCTCTTGTTCTATACCTAGCCAGAACACCTGGCATTTCCCTTTCCATGTAAGGATCTAATTTGCATTGAAAGATTAGTGCAGTGTTGGAAGACCCAAAGGGCCAAATCATACCAGAGAAGATCTAAGTAGTCATTCAATCTTAATACCAATTTGATGGCACACAAATGATCAATCAATCAATCAATCAGCCATTTTTGGTGGTCCAAGTAGAAACACAAAAAAGTTAGCTGCCTTTGCACTACATTTGGCTGGACTGTGCAGGTAAGGATAAAATAAGTATAGGAATGGTGAATATTAAAAGAAAACTAAAAAGAGTCCTTAAGAATGATGCAAAATCCACATATTGCTACTCAAAATTTTGGAAGCTGAATTAAGACACAGTCTTAAGGACCAGCATGTTAATGATGGGTCCAATCAGGAACTGATTCAGGAAGTCCTCCTTTTCTATTTAAACATGATTGGAGAAGATGTAACAATAGGACTGACATCAAAACAAGAACCATGTTGGATTTTCAGGTGGCTTCAAGGTGAAATTAAAAAAAACTTGTGCATAGACTTGTTGCATCATGATAGAACCCTGTAACTTTTTCTACTGGCAAATTGTCACACATATGTTCCAAAAAGGCAGTGTGACATTGGCATTAGGATGCTTCTTTTTACATTCTAATTAAAGCAGCAAGTTCTTGTGAACACTGATCTGTTGATATCAGATCAAAGTAAGGTAGACAGTGAATCAGATTCACAGATTCGCATTAGTTAATTTATAATATAAGGAGTTATTTTGCCTCAAAATGCTAACAACAACAACAATACTATCGAATCAGACAAAGAATCTGTCCTGATTTCCAAGTGTTCCAATTGTGAATACTAAAATACATTGTAAAAGACTGTAACTTTACTATCTTTTCCATTGTAGATGGAAAGATCCAGTTTGGCACAGTGATTAAAGTACCAGGCTAGAAGCCAGGAAACTGTAAATTCTGGTTCGTACAAAAGTCAACTGAGTGATTTTAGGTCAATTGTATCTCTCAGCCTCAGAAGATAGCTGTGACAAGTTACTTCTGAAAATTAGGCAGGAAAATTACAAGAGGCTTGTAGGGGGCAAGAGCAGTGGTGGGATTCAGACGGTTTGGGCCGGTTTGGGCGAACCGGTAGTTAAATTGCTGGCTGACCCCGCCCCTCCTTGCCCCTTCCACGAGTCTTTACACACACCATTTTGGCTCCCAGAAGGTTGCAGAGAGGCCTGCTAGGCCCAAAATGGGGTGCCGGGGGTGCAATACAGCCCCCCTGTGGCCCGTTTTTGCTCCAAGAAGACTGCAGGGAGGCCTACTAGGCCCAAAACGGGGCACAGTGGGGTGGTGCGTCCCTCCCCCATGGCCCGTTTTTGCTCCCAGGGGGGTGCAGGAGGCTGAGTGCTGCCTGTTTCACCCACTGGCCATGTCCACCCTGGCCACGCCCACCCAGCCGGTCATTAGGGCAGAGAACCGGTCGTTAAATTATTTGAATCTCACCACTGGCCAAGAGTCAAAACATTGATTTGAAAGAACCAATTTCTGGGTATTAAGTAAGAATGGAAATTTTCACCAACTCCTGATATTTACTATGTTCATTATACTAGTTTCCACTGATGAATCCAGTATGATATAGTACTGAAAGTATTGAACCGGAAGTGGATGGATGCAGGTTTAAGTCCACCCTCTGCGTGTTTTAGACAATCTTTCTTTCTTTAAATACAATCTATCACACCAATTTCTTGGTCAAAAAAGTGGAGAAAAACAAGGCTCTATCTTGGAACTCGAGCAGGAAAAGTATGATATCAATAAATCAATAAATGAGAACTACTAATTAACAAAAGAAATGAAGTGAGCTGCTATTAGATTTAATATCATCCCCCACCCCCCATAATCCAGCCAGTTTATAATTTAGATTCCTATTTTCCAGTCTGATGCTGCATTACTGCAATGTCCTCCCCAATCCTTGATATGTTAGTTTGTAAAAGAAGATAAATTTGTCCCCCTCCCCAAGGTTTCCTGCCTGTAAACCAGCAGCCCCCAATCTTTTGGGCGCCAGTGACTGGTTTCATGGAGGGTGCTTTTTCTGTGGATCGGTGTGTGTGTGGTTTGCTGAGCTGCCTGGATCCCACATTTATACAGATAGGGTTTTACTTGCTTGCGCAGCCTGGTTCCTGCTGGACCATGGACTGGCAGTGGTCTACAGCCTGCGGGTTACCCTGCTGTAAAGGATACTGTAGCTGTTCCAGAATTTTTTATTTTTTGGGAGAGGAGAAATGGGGGGAGAACTATATTTAAATTGATAAATATGAGGTACCTTTCATAAGAGAAAAGATGTCATCCCTAATTCAACATCGTAACCATGCTCGAATATACAGGAATTTGAACTCAGTCTTTTAAGTAGTAAGCAGTGTTTACCTAAACAGACAAATATGTTCAATTCACTTTCACCTTTCATTAGTTTTTTTTAAAAAAAACATGATTTTTTTTTCATTTTATTTATTTAAAGAATAGCTTATGTATGTTATCCCTTTAGAATGCCCCATTTATTTACTTTAAAAATAAGATATGCTACTATATATTTACCAATCAAATCCAAAAGCTTAATAATCAAATACTTTACCTGCAAAACAGCTTAAGAACGAAAGCAGAAATACGAGTTTCCATAGCAACATCATCTCCAATTTCCAAGGTCAAAAATTCCTCCCATCCAATCATCTGAGAAAGATGTAGGACTACGTCAATCTTCCTGATATTATTTTATAAGCTGTAAAATAAAGTTATTGGTTTAGAGTATATGCAAATATTTATGTGATATTGTTTGCTTTGATTTTTAATTTGATCATTTTTATACTATTCAGTATCTATTCACCTCTCAACTTATATTTCTAATACTTTTTTTCCTCATGACTAGCCATGCAACTTATATTAACGATCAACAGATACCAATTGAAATAATTTGCTACTTGCTCGAATTGAATTTCACTAGCATTTACATGTCCAGACATCTTATTGGCACTTTGATTTATGCTCAAATCATTAGCAAGAGAACCAAAATAAATATTATATGAAGTCATTGGAAGTTCTTAGTTGTGTTTCTAGAAACACACAATATATAACTCGCCATACAACTACTATGTACATTATTCAAGTTTACAAAATGTCTTTAAAAATATGAATGGAATTCTGGGCTATGTCATTCAGATACAGATTACAGATTCGGTACAAAAAGCATGCAGATAAAAATATGGCTCTGATTAAAACCAATTGTCACTGGAATGACAGTGTTAGAAAAATATATTTTAGCAGGAAAAAAAAGCAAAATTGGGAAAACTAGTTGTAGAAACTTTGAAAGAAAAACAGATTTTCTTCTATACACTATATAGATTATCTCAAAGGACATAAGGCTTCTGGTTTAATATGTGAATTGAAATACAATCCTTTATTTTTAACACCTTTTAAAATTGTGATACCTTTACGAAACATATGCAAATATCCTAAAGGATAATACTATGTAGAAAACCAGTCAGTTCAGCATTTGTATCTCTTGAAAATAAAAAGTGTATAGCTGTACACATCTATATGTCTGCTGAAAATAAAAATAAAAATGAGTAACACAAAAACAATTAGCCTTTCTTTTGGTTGCCAGCTATATAAATGGGTAAGGTCCCCCAATGTTTTTGTTTCTGTCTTCCTGTTTCCAAACAATTGAAATATTTATTCTAAAAAGAAAACTTGGTTAAGAAATATTTTTATTTAAATATTGAATGGTTAAACAAGATATCCTCGTTCCTGTTTTTTTTTTCTTTAAAGACATTTTGCTTCTCATCCAAGAAGCTTCTTCAGCTCTGACAGGATAGTGAGAAATGGAAGGATTTATATTCCTTGCAGAAAGCTGGTCATTTGCATGCTTTTAGAAGGTCTTTGAAGCACTTGGAGGTTTATCTGTGTCCTCAGGGTCACCTCTATGTCAGCATTACTCAAGCTTCTTGGATGAGAAGTGAAACATCTTCAATGAAAAAACAAGAAAGTTCAGTTGCCCACCGGAAAAAGCATCTTTGGGACACTTTTATATGATGCATCACCTTCTGAAGACAATCAGGTTTGCAAGAATTGGCATTTCTGCCACCATTTGTGCACAGCCTTGATCACAGAAGAGAAGACTATGCTCTTTGCCAGTGAACCATTTTATTCATAGGTGGATATGCTTTTGATTTCTTCTAGTTGGATGATGCATGAAAATACTGGGGGTGCAGTGAAATTGGCATAGTGTATACCATTCTAGTCTATGAGAAATAAGGAACTGATCAGCCTACTCGATCAAGAATGCAGAGCCAGCCTAATGTTCTTGAAACTAGATTAGGGTTAGAGATTCTATTTCTTTATCTATGTGCTTCTGTACTAATTTGCCCTAAGAGAGGGGAAATCAACATATTAAATTAGTATAAGGCTGGAAATTATATAAAATATTTGAACACTATTGTTGTAGTTCACTTATGTACCTAGCAATTATGCACAATACAATACATTGTACGCAGGGGTGGATTCTACTTACCTTTACTACCAGTTTGCAACGTGGCCACGTGCGTGCGCTCGCTTTGCTTGCATGAGTGTGTGGGCTTCTGTGCATGCATGCACATGCGCAGAAGCTTCCTAATGATGTTGGGGTCAGTGGGCGGAGCTTCCCACTGGTTTTATTATTGGTTCTATAGAACCGGTCCGAACCGGGGGCAATCCACCACTGATTGTACGGTTCTAAAACAATAGTGACAATAAAATATGTTTTTAAAAGTATTTTAATTTTTTCTTATTTTTTCTAAGCTTTTGCCAAAATATCCTTGCTTTGGACAAAATCTGTTTTTTCTAGTTTCCAAAATGTCTGAAAATAGTATGACCTTTCTTGGCTCAGTTGTTAAGTGAATCGTGTTTCCCCATTGACTATGCTTGTCAGAAGGTCTCAAAAGGTGAACATGTGTTCATATGACTCTGGGACACTGCAACTGTCATAAATATGAATCAGTTGTCAAGTATCTTGAGTTTTAATCACCTGACTAGGGGGATGCTGCGATGGTCGTAAGTGTGAGAAACGGTCATACGTCATGTTTTTCAATGCTGTTGTAACTTTGAATGGTCACTAAACCAGCTGTTGTAACTTGAGGAGCACCTGTATATGAGGCTGGATTGAAATTTGATACTGATCACCAAATCTGTATATTACATAAGGAAAAAGAGAATGTAAATAAATGCATTTGAGCACAAAAAAGATAAAAAATAAAATAAAAGTGGGGCAAAAGGGATGGGAGAAGGGGATGAAGATGAAGATGAAGATGATGAGGTCAGATTTTAAGCTGCCAGCAACTCTTTCCTTTGCCACCAGCCTGCTTTTATTAGCAGTTGAATTCAACCATTCTATATCTATCCCCTCACTCTCTCCTTTCCTCCTCCCTGCCCCTCCTCTTTCATTCTCTGAATATTAGATTTGCAGGCTGCTAATGTGAATTTCCTTATGAATGCCAATTGTATTCAGTTACTCTTTTTCTTTTAAAACTTCTTCTCCCTAAGGCAGTTTCAATACTTGAACTATAAAATAAAGTCACAGGGTAGAATAGCATCCCTTAGAGAGATTTCCCAACCTATTTTTCCCCCCTTTTTCTTCTTCTACTTTTTAAATTAACAGTACAATCCATTTGGAGTAAACAGGCCCACTTGTAAGTTAACACAATTCACAGTCATATAGTTTTTGCAAATATGAACTGCTAGACCTGGTTATAGGACCTTTGTGCATTAAGCGAACAAAGATTACTTTAAAAGTATTAGAAGCTAGTCTTCCATGCGTACCTATATTTTTCACCTATTTCAGCCTTAATGAAACAAGCACATGCTTCCATTATGCTAAGTTACCTGTGCATTTCTGTAGTTAGTTCACCTATAGTATCCTCAGGAAAAAGAGTGCAAGGATGCACATCCAGTAAGAAAGCAGATGGGTTGAGCTTTTAGTGCTAAACTGTATGCAAAAACACAGCTGAGACTTTACATTTGTGTGTTTAAGTGATATATAGTCTAATTGCTGGATGCATTGCCCTTCTTTCTCTTCTTCCTTTACATATTAGCTATGAAAGCAAGAGGTAACAGGAGCCTTTTGCTGCTGCCTGCCTAGATATTTGTTGCTGAAAATATTAAATTAGCCATGATCACTTTTCTCATTCTTCATTACAGATTTGAGTGATCATAACAACATTACAGTACCCAGAAAAGATACCCAATTGGTCAGATATCAAGGCTAAAAGCTTTCAGGCTAGTAAAGAAAAGAAAATGTATTGTAAAGATTTATCTTTCCTATCCTGTGATTGGGCAGGCAACTGTTTCTGGAGGGTTGAAATGGTCTCTCTCTCTCTCTCTCTCTCTCTCTCTCTGTGTGTGTGTGTGTGTGTGTGTGTGTGTGTTTCTCTGTCTCTTTTTTTTTTTGAAAAAAATTTTTAATTTATTTTTTAAAATAGATAAAATACATCTTTTTAGAGCAAGGGTTTGATCCGGTATAAAATAAGTACAATTGCTCACACTCCCTTCCAAATTTCATCCATTAACATCTTAAAAAGGAAAAAAGAAAAGAAAAGAAAAAGACACAAAGAAATCCAAACCCAATTTTTATCACGCAATCTAACATCTTATTCTAAATATTTAGCATTCTGCTATATCACCCTAAATCTTAAACTCCAACTATAAACAGCTCTTTGTTATATTCATTTATCATTTTAACAATCAGTATTTCATATATGTTCCTTACTTCTAAGACCCAAATCAAATCAGTATTTTTCTTAAATCACATCTAATGTCCATAGTTTTAACATAAAATATTTTACTCCTCTCTTAAAATCCTTTCAAAATCAATTCACTTTAAAATTTATTCCACATTTCCATCTATAATTTATTATTCCCAAAATGCTTTGTTTTTGCTAATTACGAGCTTCTTCTCCATTGCAACTAGCATTTTTCCAGGGATGCTTTCCTCCATTCCTCACCTTATATTTAACTGGTTCACAGTTGGCTTTAACTGCTCTCCAGCATTATCACCTCCACTCCTCCTAAATCTATTATTGAGCTGGTTCACAACTCAGTTGGCTGTTTTCCAGCAAAGCTTTCTCCACTCCTTCCTATTCATGGCTAGTTCACAGCTTTATTTCATCTAATCACCAAAATCAAACTTCTCTTCACTCCTAACTTTTTCATTTATTTGACTGGTTCATAGCATTTTGTTTTAATTTACCAATTTAAAATAATAATGCATTATAACAAATATCTTCTCACCTACTCTCTCCTGAACTATTAATTTTCTTTAAAATTCTTCCATTTCATATTTATTTCTTATTTTTCTATGAAAAACAACATTTTGAACCACTTTGAGAAGCAATTTTCCATAATTATAAAATCTATAAACAATTCTTATTAATATTCAAAAATTCATTCCCACTCTCTTATTTTTCTATGGAAAAAACAACATTTTAAACCACTTTAAGGTCAATTTTCTATAAACGTTAAATCTCTTATTAATATTTAAAGGCTCAGTTCATAGTCTTCCAATTTTTTGTAATTTGTCTATAATCACATTTTCCTGCCTTGAAAATAATTATAAAATCTATAAACAATTCTTATTAATATTCAAAAATTAATTTAGATTCTCTTAGTTTTCTATAAAGAACAACATTTTAAATCACTTTAAAATCAATTTTCTGTGATCTGTACTCTTGTTGCCTAGCCAGGTTAATTACA